AAGAACAAGAAAAAAGAACATTTTCGATTTCCTCTTTTATTTTTTGATTTTTTAACCTTTTGTCAAGATGTGAGGTGAGTTCAACTCCAATGAAGTACTATGGTACACGTTTATTATGTGGAGATAACTGTGGAATTAAATAATTGTTCCAGCTTTAATAATAATAACAATAAGTTGTAAGTTGAAAATTACTCAATTGAAATGCTAAAAGTCTTAAATGGATTTAATTTACCACATGTTTCATAGCAGACACGTTTCATTTAGTTAGGTATATCATCCCCTTCCTCTTCTTTCATCAACTTTTGTTTCTTATATTTTCTACTTTTTATTTCTCTTTCATTTCTTGACATGCATTAACTTATAAATAAACATATTTAAATATATGTCTTTTTAATTTTCACAATCATATATATATATATATATATATATGGCTGTGTTTTTGTTTTATTTCATTTTTTAGCATCGCTTCCCGATTCATCATTTCCTAATTATTGCTTGTGAAATATTGATACTCGAGTATTTTGGAGTGATTTACATCTTATAACAATTACTCAAGAGTTTTGCTGTGACGGATAAGATCCATCATCATCGTTGATCAAAGGTCTCGAGTTTGAATGACACGACCCGGATTTCCCACCCTCGGGAGTCGTGATGGCGCCTACTCGTAGAAGCTAGGCAAGCCACGAACTTAGAAATCATTAACTCTTTTATTTAATCCTTTTTATAAATCATATCAATAAGTGATAAACGTGTAAATAACAGCGGACAATTAGATTAAAACGGAAGACTTAGACAAAATAAACCAAACAGTACGAAAATCAACGTATGCCTCTACCCAAAAACTGGTGTCACAACATTCACGGACTACTAAGATTACTACATACAATTGTTTGAAGGAAGGGGACACTGTCTGTCTCGAATACAAGAGATAACAGAACATAATAAAAGATAGAGGAGACGCCGTACTTGCGGACGCCTGCAGGGCTACCTCGGTATCTCAGTGGACTAAAGGCTGGCTCCCGAACTACTGCTGTTGTCCCAGTGCTGCCTCGGTATCTGCACAGAGTGCAGAGTGCAGTATCAGCACAACCGACCCCATGTGTTGGTAAGTGCCCGGCCTAACCCCTGCGAGGTAGTGACGAGGCTAGGACCAAACTCCAGATAAACCTGTGCAGTTATATAAATATACAGTGGAAAAATAAACAAGAATAAACAGTTTAAATGGGAGGGGAACATGCTTCAGGGAATAACAGACAAAAATAGAATCTCGAGAGAATTATAAGGAAACCAAAATCCAACTCCCAACAATGATAAGGAAAACAAAGACAGATTTCACTTTCGGTTCACATCTCGTTGCACTATCCCACTTCTCATATCCTGTGGTAGGCGTACCACCCGCTCCCATTTCATAGTATCTTGTGGTAGGCGTACCACCCGCTCCCATTTCATCATATCTTGTGGTAGACGTACCACCCACTCCCATTTCATTATCTCTTGTGGTAGACGTACCACCCGCTCCCATTTCATCATATCTCGTGGTAGGCGTACACCCGCTCCCATTTCGTCATATCTCGTGGTAGGCGTACCATCCACTCCCATTTAAAAGGCAACACAAAATCACAAGGAATCCCGACAAGGGAACAAAAGAATATAGTAACTTCCCGACAAGGGAACAACAATACCAAAACAAACATCCCGACAAGGGAGAATCAGCTATAACCAATCATAACTTAATTCTTACTCGGCTCAAATAGCACCAATACTTAATCATAAATAGAATCCACGAGAATAAACCAAATCTTTACTCAATGTCGAGAATCATCAATTAAGGCATCCATAACAAGTTAACAACATTTAAGAACACAATATCTGTCAATATAAGACTCACGGTCATGCTCGACACCAACGTATAGATACTCGTCACCATGCCTATACGTCGTACTCAACAAGAAGCAATTAGCAAATAGGACACGACTCCTAATCCCTCAAGCTAAGGTTAGACCGAACACTTACCTCAAACTTCCACGGCCAACTCAATCCTCAAAAACCGCCTTTCCTTTCGAATTTGGCTCCAACACAATCGTATCTATGCATAATCGATTTAATAACATCAATAAATGCTAAACAATTCAATTCCAAAGCCTAATTATAGCTTTCTAGTCATTCTTCCCAAAAGTCCAAAAATCGACCCCGGGCCCGCTTGGTTAAAACACGAGGTTCGGACCAAAATAAAATCATTCATTCACCCACGAGCCCAAATATATAATTATTCCCAGAATTCGACCCCAAAACGAGGTCTAAATCACAATTAATCAAAAAGCCCTAACTCTACCCAAATCCCTAATTTTCTACCCTTAATCTCATGTTTTAAGCCTAGAAATCTAATAGGTGATGATAGAAATAGAAGAAAACAAGCTTAGGATTACATACCTATGAAGTTATGGTGAAGAAACTCTTCCAAAATCGCCCCAAGAGGTGTGGAGAAGAAGGGGTTATGAAATTTTTATAAAATTCCGCAATGCTACTGTTTTGGGTCTTTTAAAATAACTGGGCAAAAACCTTCTTCGCGTTCGCAACAGACTCATCGCGTTCGCGATGAGTCAGGCCCACAGACCCTTGCGTTCGCGTGCAAACGAATCGCGTTCGCGATGAACAAATTTGGACTTGTTTCAAAATTTCATTATATACACGAAGCGGGGGAGGGTTCGCCGCGGTTCATTGCTGTGCTTACACACAAGGCTAGGCTCCAGCTTAAAACTTTGAAACTATACCAAATCATACTCGGCTTCGATCTCTCTCTCTCCATAATTGATATGGAAGTTGGAAAAAATCAACCACTCAAAGCTGACCTCAAAATGTTCCAAACACGCACCCAGGCCTAGCTCTCTGTGGTGGGGAACTTATCGACGACAAAAAAGACGAGGTTTCCGTGTCCCTTCCCCTGAACCCTACGCGTTCGCGAGTGGACGGACGCGTTCGCTAAGGGTCTCCCCCCTCAGCTTCGCGTTCGCGTCTCAACCTTCGCATTCGCGAAGAAGAAAACTGGCACTTGGGAATTTTGCCTTGCGCGTTCGCGAGTGGGACTACGCGAACGCGAAGAACAATTTCCAGGTGCACTGAACAGCAAAATCTGCAACATTTCTTAAGTCTAAAACTTCCCGAAACACATCCGAAACACACCCGAGCCCTCGGGGCTCTTAACCAAACATATGTACTAACTCAACAACACCATACGAACTTATCCGTGTTATCAAATCGCCAAAATAACCTCAACAACAACGAATTAAACCTCAAAATCAAAGGATTTTTTTCTCAAACTTCATAAAACATCAACTTTAGCAATTTAGGTCCGAATCACGTCAAACGACGTCCGTTTTTCACCAAATTTTATAGAAATTTCTTAAATCATATATAAAACTTGTACCGGGCGCCGGAACCAAAATATGGGCCCGATACTAACATGTTCTAATCAAATTTCATTTCAAATTTCCTTAAACAATTTCAGAAAACAATTTCCTTTAAAAATTCATTTCTCGGGCTCGGGACCTCGGAATTCGATTCCGGGCATACGCCCAAGTCTCATATTTTCCTACGGACTCTTCGGGACCGTCAAATCACGGGTCCGGGTCCGTTTACCCAAAACGTTGACCGAAGTCAAATTAACTCATTATAGCCAAATTTTACCGTTTTTCACAGATTTTCATATTTAAGCTTTCCGGCTACGCGCCAGGACTGCGCACACAAATCGATGTGACTCTAAGTGAGGTTTTCAAGGCCTCGGAACATAGAATTTAATTTAAAACAAGTGATGACCGTTTGGGTCATCACATTGAACTATGAGAATGAAAAACCTTGATAGGGAGTATTATTTCCTTTAATGGACTTTACACTTCGCGAATCTGAATTAATCGAGACTTCAAAACAAATGCCGTACGACGGGTGAAAACCAAAATATATTGTAAATTATACATAATCGAGTTTAAGCAGCTCAATGATAATGATAATGGTATTAACTAGTGTAGTAATATGTACAATCATACGATAATGTACTTTTGAATGATACAGTCAGATCTCTCCTTTATAACAATACTTTATTGTAACCAAGTTTTATGTGAAATCGATTATTCATGTTATATCATAATATATATTTTCTGCAACTACATTTCACTATAGTAATTAAAGAATATCCAAACAAACGAGATTGTTATAAAAAATTTGACTATATATACAAATATAAGACAGAATATTATTTCTTTTTTCTTTTTGTTCCTTTCCTAAGTTTGACAATGATTAATTAAATTAATAGGAAAAGAAGCCACCAGTACCCCAAAGTTTCCTATAAAGTAGGTACAAAACCAACAAATATTAAAAGAGAAATAAAAAAAATCTACACCTAAAAACCTCCAAAAACAAAAAAGAAAAAGCCCCTTCTGTTTCATTGCTTTCACAGTAATAATACAGCTATAACCACACTTTTTCTTAGAAAAAATCTGGAAAACTCAAGTTTCCATTTGTCTCTCTTCTATATTGTTATTACTACTATTTTGCATTAAACAGTATATATATAATCTTGAGATTAATTATCATCACATCACATATTCCAAGAATCTTCTCCTCAATTTCCAATTCTTGATATATATATTCTCTGCTTCATAAAGTTTTCAACTTGCAGAAAATAAAGTGAAAAAAAATTCCAATTTGATTCTCAAAAAAAAAAAAAAAAATGGTTATTATTTTGTTTGCTAAAACTGATTAAAAAGAAATGTGTGTACAAGAGTCAGAGGAAGTGAGTGAGAAAATGGAGAATTTGGATATTTCAAAGAGTGATGATAATGTAAAGATTGGATCTTTACAAGTAGAAGATGAATTGGGAAATACCCAAAAAGAGAATTGTGAAAAAAACACATCTTCTAGTCTTGCTGTGATCAGAAATTCTTTCCCAGTAAGGATCTCTTTCTTTAATTTTTATCATTATTGGTCTTGTAAATTTGGTATTTTTTCCAATAATTTTGCAAAGATATGATTTTTTTCCTAGTCTACTTATGCATTAAATTCCACTTATATGGATAATTTGAGATTGAGGTGTAGCTGTTGTAGTCATGCTTTAGAGCTGTTCTTTGGTGTGCAAATGGATGTTGAGAGCTGTTGCTTATTTTGTATAAGGAATTTGGTCAATTTAGGACTGTTGAATAATCTAGCAAGTTGCAAAGATTTGATTGTTTTTCTTCCTCCTTTTATGATGTAGTTCTTGAGCCGATCGTGTATCGGAAACAGCCTCTCTACCTCACCAGGTAGGTAAGGTCTGCGTATACACTATTCGCCCCATAACCCACTTGTGGGATTATATTGGATATGTTGTTGTTGTTGTTATGATGTAGTTATTATTGGATATGTACTTTGAAGAAACAATAATTGGGTTGTTGTCAATTATGGTTTGTTATTTTGGTGGTTTGGGGTTGTCATACTTCTCTACTGGTTTCTATCTTAGTAATCATCTTCTGTCTATTTTTTGGTTTTCTCACTCTTTTTTGTTAGATGGTCTATTTATTAATTATGGGTCTTTATCTTTTGTGATTTGCATTTTTTGGTATCCTTTCTTCTTATGGTTAAGTGTGGGACTCGTCGGAGCAGTTTTTAATAGCTTGGACGAACACTAATTGTTGTTCAGAAGTACTTTTCTAATTTATTAGCCAAACACAAACTTTTGATAAAAGCACTTCTCAACGTAAGCTGATTTTAGAAGCTTGGCCAAACAGGCTATAAGTGTGGGACTGGTCGGAAAGGCTCCTGTATTGGATGGATTTGGTAGATTTTTTTTCATCTGTTGTACTGTGCTATCGATCTTTCTGGTAGAAAAAATTATTAATAAATGGATATTCTTGATTATATCTGGAAATTTGGAAATCTTTGCCTTTGGAAACTAATTTGAATGATATGGATCTCCGCGGCATATTTGTAGAATCTTGGTTTTTTGCTATGTGCCATGGTAAATCATTGAAGTTCTTTTTCTTCGATAAGTTAGTAAATCATTGAAGTTGCTTTACTTGCATTCATCTTGTGTTTCTTTCAATGTTCCTTCAGCAGTAAATTCATTGATTAGTATCACACATTTTCATGTCCCGATGGTCCTTCTATATTATTTCCTATACTAATTCTATTACCGATTCGTGTCTAAATAGAAAGTTCACTTGAACAATTCAACATCTAAGCTGATTGTTGCATGGCTATGAACTTCTTCATTGCGTTATAAGTGATTTATTTCCTTTTTTCTTCCTTTTGTTCTCTAGATGGAAAGCATTTCTGAGGATACAACTATTGCAGACCGTAAGCAGATACTCTTCAATAAATTCCTCCCTACTCTTAGATCTGGAGAGTGGTCCGATATTGGAGGTCGTCTTGATATGGAAGATACTCATATTTGTATTGCGGACCTGGCTAAGAATTTTGGTCAAAGTATTCTTGGTGAGGAGGAGGCTGTCTCTTTTTATGGAGTAAGTCCTTTAAACTCGTTTGGCATCATGATATTCATCCTTTGCAATTTTCTCATTTTACTAGTAGGTGCATTTGTATCTTTCCTTGCTATAAAATTTAGTTTAGGTATTGATGTAGGGAACATGGGTTGTATATTGATGAGAATTTAGAGCCTCTCTATCTTTCGTGAGTCGAGGGTCTACTAGAAATAACCTCTCTACATTCTTAAGGTAGGGATGAGGTCTGCATACACTCTACCCTCCTAAGACCCCACTAGTGGGATTACGCTGGGTTTGTTGTTGTTGTTGTCGCACAAAAGGGCTGAAAGAACTACAAAGGAGTGCCTTGTTCCTCAGGGTTGTGAGATGAAACACGTCGCTGACGGATTTCATGGTGCTAGCCTTGTGCTATTGCAAAATGGTACAGGATTAGTTATTAACTACATCAAACAAATGTATAAAACCGTAGGTGACAACTGATGAATTAGAGCTCTCCTGTCGTGCTTATCAGATCATGACACTGCTTTGCACCATAAAAGAGACAAAGAGACCACTCTACTCAAATGATGAGATAGCATAATGATCAGAAATGTAGTCCAACTAAAAACACCGCGAATCAAAAACACCATGACACATTGTAGTTTGAACTTGTTACTATTGGAAAATGTATATGCTGAACAGCTGAAGCGCAGTAGGTCTAAGCATCTTTGCTTGTGGCATAGGAACTCACACTTGGACCTGCAGGGTACAAGTAGCTTATCTTATTAGTTTCCTATTTAGGACCAAATATAATGTCTAATTATTATACTAGTTATTCATTAAGAATCACACATCACTTTCATATAAAATAGGAGTTCCGGCTGAGGAGTGGAGAAGAATTGAAAAGAGATAATAAGCCAAGTTTACTATAAATTCTTAGCACATCTAGCATCTGATGTTCTCCGACCAGGCGACCACTGATGTAAATGGTTTTAGTGACAGGTCTTTGATGGCCATGGTGGGAAGGGAGCAGCACTCTTTGTTCGTGACTTCTTACCAAGAATCATTGTTGAGGATGCAGATTTCCCTTTGAAACTTGAGAAAGTGGTCAGTAAATCTTTTTTGGAGACAGATGCTGCTTTTGCCAAGTCATGCTCCGCTGATTCTGCCTTTTCCTCGGGCACAACTGCACTCACTGCTATGATATTTGGAAGGTAACCATTCCTATGCATTCATCTCATTTTCTTTTCACTATTTTCCTTTTATCCTGACTTCCAATTTATGTTTCAATCAACTAGCACGATATCTTAGTGCCGTGAAGCTTTTTTTAGGTTGTTGCTAGTAGGGAATTTTGTTGGTTAATATTCAGTCTTAATAAATACAAATTTATCTTCTTTAGGCTACATTAGAGATCTGTGTCTAATATAGGTTTCTTTCTGTACTAATATCTGATGGACAGATCATTACTCGTGGCAAATGCTGGCGATTGTCGAGCAGTACTCTCTCGAGGTGGATTGGCTATAGAAATGTCAAAGGATCACAGACCTTGTTGTGTCAGTGAAAGAACACGTGTCGAGTCCTTGGGTGGATTCGTCGATGATGGTTATTTGAACGGACAGTTAGGCGTGACCCGGGCATTGGGTGACTGGCACATTAAGGGACTGAAGGAAGTCGAAAAGGGTGGGCCATTGAGTGCTGAACCTGAACTAAAACTGCTTACATTAACAAAGGAAGACGAGTTCTTGATCATCGGTAGTGATGGGATATGGGATGTTTTCAGAAGCCAAAATGCAGTGGATTTTGCCCGAAGGAGACTGCAAGAACACAACAACGCAAAATTATGTTGCAAGGAAGTCGTGGACGAGGCCAAAAAACGTGGTGCTATCGACAACTTAACGGTAGTCATGGTATGTTTTCACTCTGAACCACCACCACCTATTGTATTCCAAAGATCAAGAATTAGGAAGTGTATATCTGCAGAAGGACTTCAGAATCTGAGATCTTTACTCGACGGGTAGCGCTGTCGCGTGCAATTACCACTTTGGGCTTTAGGAAATGTATAATGCCAGTTACTACATTCTTCTGGAGTACATTGTAAATACCTCAGAGGTAGGATATGTTCTACCTTTTAATGCTCCAATTTAGAATTCAAGCAGATGGAATAAAAGCTTGAGGGAGAAATGAGCAAGCCAAGGAACCAAAATTTTTGTAAATATATCATTCTTCAATTGTATGCTCTCTTTACACTAAAGGGCACATATCTGAACTTCAATTTTCTAGTAATATAAACTTTAGATTTATCTATGAGTAATAAATTTTCTTTACTTATATCTCAAAAAGCTTAGACGAAATTTGAAACAATTATGCTTTAAACGCTCTTGCTTTACTCGTATTGCTTGATCAATTTAGCAGCTTTCTTCTACAGTCAAACCTCCCTATAACGGGTTCCTTTGTTCTGACATTTTTTGGCTGCTATAGTGAAATATTGTTATATAGGATATATATTATGACATTACATGAAAATTGGTTCCAAGAAAAATTTGACTTTTATAACGAATGACTGTTATATAGATATGTTATAGAGAAGTCTGTCTTGTATTTTCCTAGTTGTTATGACGGTCGTGCTCGTCTTGGATTTGGCCTTGTCCTTTGACTCGGCCATGCTCATGCGACGCCGGCGCCGGCGCCAATGAGGAATGGTTGTTGTTGTTGTTGCTACTACATGGTCCCTTAAAGTACATTCAAGGATCAGGTGAGCAGAACAGAAACATATTCCTATGTGTTAAAGAAAGAGATATCTAACATCTACTATCTATTATTTTTCTTGTTTGTTCTTACCTTCTTGCCTATATTTGTTTGTAATTTTGTCATGTAAACCGGTTAAGTATTAACCATATTTAACACGAACGTGTTCTTTATTCATCCATAGTTTTTTAGCAATGCCCAAACGAAACTAGGCATATTTAACCTTAGTGGCATCCTCTCGACTCTCTACGACAATTGTGCCTCAGTTCCAAATAAGTTGGGATCAACTGAATGGACATGGACATACCCTGGATGATTTTCTTTATTCTTAAAATAGGGAACCACGCCAAAAGAAATGGGTAGTCACACACATTGCTACCTGCTAAATCCGTCCTTGAATGATTTTGTTTATGTCTAAAGTTTCAAAGGAAGTCTTGGAAACACCAGATTATGAAAAATAAAAGGAAACAGAATCAACATGCATACTTGGAATGCTTTATATAAGTCGTACACAGCCATATGATTGAAGCAAAAACAAAGTTTTTATCATTTTCTCAACCATATTCCACAAGCAGAGAACACCTCCTTTTTCCTCTAACAACAACAGCAATAATCCCTGTGTAATTCCACAAGTGGAACTGTGCGAGTAAGCTGCAAGCAGACCTTACCCCTATTTTGTGAAGGTAGAGAGATTGTTTCCGCTAGATCCTCGGCTCAAAGAAAGCAAAATCCCGACAGTAGTAAATAGTAGTGAAGAAGCCATCCTTTTACAGTATATTCATAAGCTTATTGCAGTGGAGAAGTAAAGATGCTATGATTAGAGATTTACTATTGGCTCTGTAACAGAACTGGCACTGCCTTGAGATAGCACTGCAATAAAGAATATATTCCTATGCATATATCACCTGCAAGCATCTTTGACATGAAGAAGATATTAGCAATATAATATCAAGAAATATCTCTCTCTAGATAAATAGTGGACCAATATAGTTGCAATTTGAAATATGATCTACCAAAGAAACTAAACTGAGTTAAAGTAAACTACTAAATGATGCAACGGAATGAAAGTAAGAATAACAATATGTTTTCACTGAACTTAACTAACCTGAATACCATCATTAAACTTCGATTTCTGATGCTCAGTTGAAGGCAGATTTTGTTGAAATTTTTGCATTAAAGATTTCTTTCTTATTCAACTCAGCAGGTCTATTTTTGAACGTTTAGTGCATTCAACCAATTGAATGTAGTTACATGCAAAGCCAAAGTAGGAAACCCCTCATAAAAGATGAGCAAATATGATGTTTTCAAACTCTGCAAAAGCATTCTTTTCCTCTTGTAAGCTACTTTCACCAAGATTATTGGTACATCTTGTTGTTTTGATTTGATAATAAAATACTGGACATTTCTTTGAGAAGTAAAATACTGGTCTTTTTCGCTTTTAGATCTTTCAAAGTCAGTCTGTACTTTGTTTCTCATCTATTACCTTGCTAGAGAAATTAGCTTTGACTCAAAAGTATGCTTTTCTTGCATCTTTGTTGCTGTTAAGCCAACAACTTCGAGTGCTCTCTTCTTTGTGAATTTAAAATATAATCAAAAATTTAAACCATGTGCTGTTAATCAATTTGACAACATGCCTATACCAAAACCAGGATAACAAAATGAATTGAGGAGTACCTTTTTGGTCATATTCCTACACCTCTTTTGACTGATATGAACTCCCTCTGATATCTTCAGAAGCAGCTAAGCTTTCTTTATTTCTAGAACTTCGAAGCGAGCCAACAGAGAAATCTGCTTTCAACTGGAGCAACTTTACTTGAGGCAATATAAAACTGTCTTTAGCAACACATTTTAGGATCTTGACTTGCTATCAAGTTAAAGCGACTAATGATCCAAAAGAAATCCAGGAAATAGAGGTACAATCACAAGAAACCATAATTGACAACAGATTACAGGATTTACAAGATACACATGAACAGAAAGCCAATTAGCTGGGCATGGAACCTGGATATAGAGATATTGAGCACAACATATCGATGCTTCCCACGTTGCACTATTGAATGAGAAAAGAAAACCCACCTTCTAGTGAGTTGCCCGAGGTTTCGTCAATCCTAATTAGACCACCAATTACAGCGTACCAAAATTAAGTTTTGAGATCAATTAACTGATCCTGCAAAAGCCCAAGGCCATGCCCAATTCAAGATCCAAGTTAAACCAAATTCTAGCAGCGCTCAACAACAACAACAACAACAACAAACACAGTGTAATCCCACGGGTGGGTCTGGGGAGGGTAATGTGTACGCAAACATTATCCCTATCTTGTGAAGGTAGAGAGGTTGTTTCCGATAGACCCTCAGCTCAAGGAACAGTGAAAGTGGAATCTGTTATTTTAGCAACGCTCAAATATATACAACAACAACAACAACATACCCAGTTTGATCCCAACAGGAGGGGTCTGGGGAGGGTAGTCTGTACGCAGACCTTACCACTACCTAATGCAGGTAGAGAGGTTGTTTCCAATAGACCCTCGGCTCAGGAAGGGCAAGAATAAGAAGAGGAAAGCAAGTAAGGAAGAAAGATGTAAGAGGAAAGAAAAGGGAGGGATAAAGGATGCGTAGTGCCAAATAATAGCAACGGAGAACACAATACCTGAGGCGAGCAAAACCACATAACATAATAAAAAATCTAAGCATATCAAGAGACATGCATGCTACTAAGACTATCGGTAGGGGTGGGCATTCGGTACTTCGGTTCGGTATTTAATAATTTTGGTTCGGTAATTCGGTATTCGGTTTATCAATTGTGTATACCAAATACCATACCAAAATATTTCGGTACAGTTCGGTTTTTCTTATTTTGTTTCGGTACGGTTTCGGTACGGTTTCGGTTTAATAATCGCTAAAATTTAGCTAACGCCTAAGTCCTAACAGTGCACTGTCCAGATGCATAATTGTTGCAGCAAGCCAGCAACGTTTGAAATTGAAACCAGCAACGTTTGAAGTTGCAGCACATGCATAATTTTCTATCCATACACAAATACAAATCTAACGCCACACAGAAAGTCAGAAACAATACATACTAAACACCAGATGCTATAGATTTATAGCATCTAAAATCTATAAGTCAGAAACAATAAAAAACAGTCAACAATGTTTGTACATACTTACTTAACTTTGAAATTGAAACAATACATACTTAACAGATGCAGCAGCAGTCTAAACTTTGAAATTGAAACACTACATACTAAACTCAAGTTAAGTTTGAAATTGAAAGTTGAAACAATACATTACATGCTTAACAGATGCAAACAGTCAACACTGTTCACTGTTGCAGCAGCAACAGTCTAAACTTAACAGATGTAAACTAAACAATACATAATAAACTTAACAGATGCAACAGCAACACTGTTGCAGCAACAACAGTCAACACAACAGTCATTGCGAATCACCAGATGCAAACAGTCAACACTGTTGCAACTACACATTATAGACTTGACCACAATGCTTGAACCTAAAAAATATAAATCATAAGTTAGAATATAATATTTTGATGATAAAAAAACAAAACTACAAAAGTATTAAGTATATCACCAAACAAAATGAGTATTAAACTTACCTCTCAAGATGCAAGTTGCAACTATACATCAAACAATGCTAGTTGTGCTTCCATTATTTTCCATATCTATAGATAATTCGACCAAATATGTCATACAAATGAAAAAGCATGATATATTATTTTGAACTAAAATACACGCAAAATATTAAAGCTTACCGAGCTCGAGTTCCTCAAGATACTTCAAGTCTTCTTCAACACTAATAGGATTTTTCTCTTCTCTAAGCCAATCTTGAACACAAATAAGAGCTTCCACACATTTAGGAGTCAATGAACTCCTAAATGAATCAAGAATACGGCCACCGGTGCTAAATGCGCATTCCGACGCCACACTAGAAATTGGAATGGCCAACACATCACGAGCCAACTCCGAAAGAATAGGAAATCTAGAAGCATGTGTTTTCCACCAACTCAAGATATCAAAGTCTTCACTAAAAGGTTCTTGTTCTTCACTAATGTATTTATCCAACTCCGATTTAGCACCCCCACCCCCATTGTCTTCCTTTTGTTTCTTCAAGCTAAGCTTAGTCCTTATTTTTGATGCACTTATAACACTCCCACTAGATGTGTTAGATGTGTTGCTAGATAAGTAGATCTAGATGGAGATTGAGGACAAGATGCAGTTGAATATTTTTTTAGATACTCTCCAAACAAAGAATTCATATAAGCATACACCTCGGCATTTATTTTCTTTCCTTTTTCCTCCCCAAAAAGTTCTTCAAGTGCTCCCTCAACATATTCAAATTTGTTACGTGGATCCAACACAGAAGCAATAAAAATCATTTTATTCATCTTTTCAGGCTCACCCCAATATTTCTTGAACTTTTCTTGCATTCGCTCAGCCATTTTTCTCAAATGCTCATCCTCACTAGCTAAACACATTTTCAAATGACAATAAAGTTCAGATACATCCTCAAAATGAGAATTACAAGTGACATAACGTGAACCTG